TATCTGCGCCTAACAAATGTGGTACTACGCACGACTGAAATTTTACGTTTATAATCGTAGCAACAGACCTCAGATGAGCCCAGACGCTCTGCGGCTCTTGTTGTTAGTGAAGAGGAAAATGTGCCCAACCTATTTCCAATAGTAAATTGAATAACGTGAACAATTATTAAAACTATACCTTGCTACCTTACTAATACTCGAGACTTGCATTTGGTTACCAAGGTGGCCACTTCGTGTGTCTAAGGCATTCATTGGCAGCTTTGAGGATGATTGTGCATTTTGAAATTTCTTACGAAATACAAAAAGATTAATACTTTTTAATATTATAAATTAGTTTATTATAATTATATTTATACAGGTAGGTCCCGTTTTACGACAGGGTTAGGTTCCAGTGAAACAGGGTCGTAAAATGAAAAGTCGTAAAACAAGACCAAATTATAATGCAATTAAATATGCTATAATTTCACCCACAATGCATCACGAAAATCAAGAAGCGCATATTGCATGTTTGGACTCATAGGCGTTGCTGTGATATGTGTTGTTGAGTTGCGATTTGTTGTTGTTAATTGTTTAGGTAATTTTGAAAAGGTTGTTGAAAATGTGAAAATTCGTACAATGGACCATCGTAAAACGGGACCTACCTGTAATTTTCTTAAACAAGTTATTTATATATGTATGCTAATTACCAACTTTTAATTTTAGTGAATTATTCGTTGTAATTGTTGTCTGTGATCCGTGTCCTTCTAGTGCTGTACGCGCACGTCGCTGACGTGGTCAACAAATGCACAGCAGGTGGCGTTGAGATCACAGGCCTCCATGCAGCCGTCGCACCGCGGCGCCACCATCACGACTCGCCGACGCTGGAGCGGCACGTCTTTGTGCCGTACGTTGAGGAGTTGAGAGACGCCGCGCTGGACGGATATGTGAGCGCCTGCGAGGAGGTGTGTGGCCGCATCGCCCGCGCTCTCGCCTCCACCGGGGGCGCTACCGTCCCCAACCCTCACCTCCTCGCCAAGATCTGTGAACGTACACAGAAACAGTCGGACGCGGACGACTCCGGATTCCATGACCCCGAGATCACCTATGATGTCGAGACACCGTCGGTGGCGGGCACCGCCTTCCACCTGCTGAACAAGATGGCGGAGATTGTCGCCGCGGGGTCAGACGGGGTCGTTGAAGCGCTGCGTGCGGCGGCGGGAGAGGCAGCGGGCGCGGATGCCCTCCACCAGGTGGCGTTCTCTGGGCGCAGCCTGAAGGTGTGCGTCGACATCGCACTTGAGAACCTGCGCACGGGGTCGTCGCTGGTCAAGGTCGTGGAGGTCGAGCCAGGCGAGCAGCGCCACCTATCGGCGGAGGTCGCGGCGATGATGTGCCCGCAGCCGACGGTAGATGTGGAGCGGGTCGTCTGCCGTGCGCGACCGACCGTCACCGACGACGATGACGATAACACGGTAGCGT